GTGGCTGGTATGAACTGTGGACTCAAATGAAGACAATAAGAAAACTTGCAAAGATTTTTTTTTTGGCAGCCAGCAACACAAGTGACTGGCAAGTGTTTTGAAACATGTATTTTATTCTACAACATTTGTTGGAGAAAAAACTGCGTGCCCATATTGCAGAAGTTTCGGCAAATTTAATAGAACTGCTGAGGATGATTGTTCATATATATGATCAAAGCTTGACATATCTGGGCACAATTTATGGTGGCTTTGTTATGGACTGATACTGTAAAATGCTTAGCGAATCTTGACATGTAGCAAATACCTTCCAGTTGCCGCAGCCTCACGGGTCTGGGACATTATACAAGCTGACAAACTAGCCCTGAAGTTCTGGGCAGCTGGCAGTAGCGGTGATGTGGTCAGCTCTGAATAGAGGCTGGGATTTGGGAAAGAGCCATCATTAGCAGTCTGATTGTACCTGTGTGAAAACTTGGAAGGCATTAACAGGATGGGTGGGGGGCAGCTGGAAATGGTAGCGCAGATAAATGCATGCTGTGTTACGAACAAAATCTTTAGCCCCTTTGGTATTTGTGGAAAATGAAATCAGAAACTGGTCCTTTCCATTCAGGGTGAAGTAACATTTGAAACAGAACGGGGGAAGGAAAATAGGGAGAGGAACATCCAAAGCAGCATTATTGAAGAAATGAAGATATTTTCAGTCAGGGAGGAAAGGAGTGCCATAGAGAAGCAGAAGGTTTGAAAATGAAACAATGTATGGAAGTATCTGGATAGACCCTTGGTCTTCTTTAGAAAGGATCACCTTTAGCTTTGGTCCTTAGGTGTGAATGAGAACCTTACTTATTTGGCGTAAGCCTGTTGTTTGCTCAGGAGAACCAGAGCAAAATGCTGCTTTTAGCATGCTATTGGTGAGTGAGCTTCACACTGACCTGCATACAAAATCCTGTGCCTGAGGCTGGCAGAGGTGTGAAGAGACGTGCATGTTTCCAAGGGGTTTAATCAAACGAATGGGAGCTCCTTGCAGGGACAAAACCAGTCTTCCCTCCCATAAAGCTGAAAACCTGTATTTGCTGTTGGGTAGCTACAATCATAGCAATGATCACAGCGTGAAATATGAGGAAGGGAGGAATTATAACCTCGATAGAGCTATGCTGGCATTACTGTAATAGGCGGGTGCTGTGTATGCGGTACATGCTCCACATGTGCTTATGACAAGGAAGTGATTAACAGAACGCTTGGAAACCTGTTACGATTGCTTAACCTGTACCATTTCTTCAACCTATGTGCTCTTTTATGCTCAGAAGTGGTGAAACATGGAGTCAGCTCAGATTTGATTATTCTAGGTTAAATGAAAGCTGCTGGGACCTCTGTGGAGCTGGTTGGCTAGCCTGGTGGGGAAAACTCTTGTTTCTTTTATGTTTTTTTTTCATCCAGAATAAAAGCCAAGTTTCTGCCTTCTTTATGGCAGATAAGGGCTGTGTTACCTGATAGCCTAAGTCAAGCTCTGCTTTTCAGGTTGTTCCCCTGACAACCATGAACTGTCACGACAGATGGAGATAGTTCAGCTTATTTATTTCTTGGGCATAAAAAAATCCCAGCGAGAGGGACCTCTTGGGCTAGGTGATTCTGGGAGATGGGGATTCTTCTTCCATTTGGACATGACCTAGTAAAGGTTTTTGCCTTATTCTTGCATGTAGATTGGTGTTTAAGTCTTTGGGTCTATTTCTATGCACCTGTATCACAATGAGTAAATAGTACTGACCTCTGTAACAGATGTATTGCATATTTAATGTTTGCTAAGTGATTTAAATTCATTGCGTTAGAAATGTTGACTCTGACTTCGCAAAAGAGGTTCCAAGCTTGCAGGTGACGCAAGCTGTGTCTATATAATAAGGGGTTTAGCATAAGCTGCAACTCAGGTTAGCTTTCTTATTTTCATTTTTGCTTTTACATACCATACTGCAGCAGCTCTGCTTCTAGACACTCCCTGCTTAGAAGTTATGCCATCGTAAGGTTTGTTTCAAATACAAACCTGTTTTGATTTATTTTGCTTTTTAGGAAGTTTTCTAGCTGCTCATCCGTTGTATACTCACTGTATCAGTGAGCTGAAGCTTTTACACCAATGTCAAAGGGACAATTTAAAACTTGGAGTGCAGATATAAATTGCATCTGTTTGTCTTCATACAGTAGCAAGCTCTCCCACTCCAATGTCCACTGAAAATACCAGATGCTTCTATGGATCTGTGTGATCATGTCAAGAACTAGTCCCTGTTTCTTCTGGGGCGTGAACAAGTCACTGTTTCTTCTGGGGAGTCTCCTTTTCTTGTGGTCAGTATCCATCAGAAGCCGGCATGCTTCCTGGGATATGCACCGGTGGCACTGCAGTTTCAAGCTGTAGCAGCAGTGTTACTGACAATTCCTCAGTCAAAAGCAGAGCTGCTGATAATACTTTCAGTAGATGTGCTTTCTAATAAGAGCTGGATCAGGTTTTTTTTTGTCAAGACCACCAGAAGTTTTGCTAACAGCAACGTTGAACAATCTCCTCATGTGTTGCAGTAAGAGAGGGATTTCTCTCTGAACCAAGTGCAAATGTAAGTAGATAATCCCATGTAACAGAGAATTCCCCTGGGAGGTATGCTGCATGCTAACCAAGCTTCACCCAGGGTGACTCAGCTCCAGATAGACTGTTCTAACTAAATGAGGGTGTTTCTTAACAGTTTTAGATACTGTATTACACTTGCACATCTAGCCCATGGCTTTAGGGAGTTTATCAGTGAATATAGGGTATCAGAATGGTTCATTTGGACACTCTCACCAAGGAACTGAGTCCCTGAGAGAGAATTACGTGGAGAATTATAGTCTGATACTTAAGTGCCACTGGACTTTTGCTAACTTTCAGGTGTTCAT